AACGAGTCTTTGGAAAAAGTGACCACGAAGGGGTGCGGAGCCTCAACTCGACGGATTAATCTCGCGGGGACTGCCAGGGGAGGAACAATTGTTGATATTTCAGGAGAGCATCGTCCATAAAAATATTTATAAAATGTGAGCCAGATCGCCAATTGTTCTACGGTGTTCCAGAGAAGTGAGTGAGTTTGTGAGCGGAGCATCGCCCACGAGACGAATTACACTTTTTTGGACAGAATCCAACAGTTTCAGGGTATGTTTGAGTGCTGCACTCCAAATATGGAAACAGTATTCTAGGACAGGTCGGATCTCTGCCTTATAGATCATACACAGATGACTGGGAGTGAAATAGCTCCTGGCCCGAGACGAAAAAAAGTTTTTGGGATGCAGTTTTAGCAATTGATATCAGGTGATTGCTGAAAGTAATACCAAGCATTGAAGAGCTCATGTTGGGCACAGTGAGATCGGCTTTTCTAGAGAAAAGGCATGCCTGTGTTTTGTTTGCATTTAAAACTACCAAGTTATTGGATTTTCCATCTCGAAATTGTTGCCAAGTCCATATTTATATTGTCAACATTTCTCCCTCGTTCGTTCCCTAATAACACACTTATGTCCCATGGATATTCTTAGGACGTCCTGTCGGGGCATTCAGGACGTCCATAGGACGTTCGAATTTGGTACCGTGGACGTCCATTGGACGTCTGTGGGACGCACAAATGTTCCACTTGGGGACCAACTAGGGACGTCCTTGAAGGATGTCCCTGGGACAACTATCGAATACCTAAATCCTACAGTATTCCTCATCGAGCACTAACAGAGGACATCCTTAGGACATCCATAGGACAACCTATCAACCTAACGCTGAGGGATATCAATTGGATGTCCAATGGACGTACGAATTATTTTTGAATTCGATTTTTTCTGGGTCCCTCTAGGACCAGATCTTGCATAACTGATCAGGACATCCAGTTGAGTTGATGGTCTGTAGAAGGTCCCCAAAAAGTCTCCCAAGGATGTCCAATGGACTCATGTGAAGGAAATTGACGAGGAGTACTTATAGCCTACGAGCAATCATTCGTCGGTGAGGTGTAAGTTAACGTCCTCGCAGGGACAACATATTGAAAGTACCGACTGGAACGTCCATAAGACGTTATTTCTAGGACATTGGAAGAGTACAGTTCATGTACCAATTGGGACATCCGACAGATATCCCTAAGGGACATTCGAAGGATGTCTCTAAGGAACATTTCGATTGTTATACGATTCTGGAAATATTAAGGGCGTCTGTGCAGAGATATTTGAAGGAATGTACCATCAGGGACATTTCATGGTTGTCTAGAAGGGACATTATATAAGATCTGGAGTCATGCCAGAATATGTACTACTCCCATCAGGGACATGCCAAGGACGTCCTTGCATGTACATTCTACAATATGTACCACCTGGGACGTCTAAGGGATGCTATTTCTAGGACATCTGAGATGATGTACTGGCTGGGACCTTCCGTGGACGTCCAAAGGACACTTATTTTTGGTTCGGGACATTCGGACGTGAATTATACCGAATAGGGACGTCCCTAGGACGTTGTGTGCTATTAGGGTTTATGATTTTTCGGGCTGGTATTGGAGCACTGGGAGAGAAGGCGGTATGGAGGGCACTATCATCCGCGATGCTGTGTAATGGACATGGAGTTGATTTCAACGAATCATTGATATGGAGTAGGAAGAGTGTTGGTGCTAGAATTGATCCTTGCGGATCACCTGCATTTATGATAAGAGAGTCAGATGAAACTCCGTCGACCATTACATGAAGAGACCTGTTTGAGAGGGAACCAGCTAGCAGAGAACATAGCTGGGAAGGCAAGTCATAAGATGGAAGCTTGGCGAGGAGTCCGTGGTGCCAGACTGGATCGAGACGTAATCGAGCAGGTCACCAGTTGATTGCTGATGACGAAAGCTATTTCTGATTCAACACCCATAGTTTTCGGCTTCACAACATCAATTGAACACCCTCACAAAAAATATTATTCCAATAGGCGTACAGTTCTTCCCCAACTGATAAGTGGTGACCTCGACGAGATCTTCTTGTTAGTGATTTTTTGTTTCAAGTGACGCGAACTCTATTCCACTTATGAGTGGACGCTGACGCGCCTACGCCGACGCCGCTTCCGTTTCAGCCGCTGATTTACCTCGCCGGTCTTGCCGAGTTGTCGCACTCAGCGTGCCGCTCACGAGTGAAAATGGCTGAGCACGCCTTTCACAGCATTGAACTCTTTGTAAACAACTGGAAGAGAGACTGCCACTTCCTCGAATAGCATACAGTGTATCAGGTGGTCAGGGGCAGCTGCAACAAAGAAAGCTTGTGTTACGGTAACCTGTTTCTTCCACACTCGTGTTGTTTAATAGCGGATTGGTGAATCAATTTCCATTCATCCAATAACTGGAGTACTTTGGACCTATTTTCTCATCTAAATAGACAAAAAAAGTGGAAACAGAACTTCATTATTTTTAGTTGGAACGGAATTAGTTGGTGTGAATCGATTTTTGTTGGAAAGGTTCGTGATTTAGAATCATCGAACTATGGATATTCATTGTGGTGCCCTTGAGTTGAGGATTGTTCATATGTTCAGTGATTTATTTTCAGGATGTGTCTGTGGATGTTCGTGTGGATGTTCATAACTAGGATTCTAAAGACGATGTTTTTTATATAGACATTGATTTGCCTTCCAGCTCCCAAGTTTCAAAGTTTATTGACAATGAAACCCAAACTGTTTCATTCGAGAAGACCTATTGTATTGCGAAGAGAAGTGAAAACACTGAAAACAAAAGTTGAGAGGGGAATGACAATCTCAATGAGGTACTAAAACAACATTCTGAAGGTAAAAACTACAAGTTCAAATTTTCAAACTTGAGAGCTACAACATATTGTCTATATAGGTTTGCCTTTGGAGCTTCTCCTCCTCCATGAAGAGAAGAAAGAAGGTGTATATTCTGGGCGATGCAGATATTAATCTCTAATGAAACAATTCGTCCATACATTGTAGTTCCATTCACCTTTCATTAACCTCTCATTCACCGTCTTATTATTTCGAAATGTAATTGGAAAGATAGGCACCATCGAGAATTGGGTTCAGAATCGACCTTATAGGTACTTAATACCATCCAAGAACTTGTTTTCAAATTTTTTCCATCGTTTTTTTTTCTCCTGATAGTGCTGCGACATTGAGCTCCACTCACTCTGTACAATATATTGTGACATTTGAATAACAACATATACCTTATTTCAAGTTAGTATCCATTTGACTTCCTAATCCTGTAAGAATAAAAATTAAATTCTACTATTGGATCAAGAAAATCGATAATCATTTTTCAATGATAATTGATTACATCATCAACTTTTTTCCTAAATGAATATTTATATTTATTCACGTTCACTCTTGAATAAATGCAGGAACCGAGAAAAAATTTTAAATGATGCGAGCGCTTCTAATTAGCCAAAATAAGATATAGAAGGGATATAGGTATCCGTAACTACTGCGGGCTGCCTAAACATTCTGTTTGCCTCCCTCGTCGTTCACTGAGGATTCGTTCCATGTGTTCACATTGAGTTTATTGGTTCACAGCAATTACCATCGTTGCAGTACACCGTCGCTCCATGAAATATATATAAGCCAACATGATTGTCTAACTCACAGCTTGCTGGGATGGTCTACCAGTTTGGTCGCTAGCAAGACCCAACGGCTTGCTATAGACTCGCAACGTGTATTGCCTGAACCACTGAGTTATGAAAATTCACCATGTAACGAAGCCACCCCTGTGAATTACTGGCTTCACCAAGCAGCACCTGTAGCAGGAGCCATCCACGGGATTATTCAATAAAATCAGGTACACAGCTCACCTACGAACCACAGCATATTTCCCAGTAGCCTCAAAATAATAAGCCTGCACTGAATCCGCTGGTTAATCTAGTTTCAAGGGCAAACCCCTTTATATTCACATTGTTTTTTATTGAGAAGAAAAAAAACGATATCCGGAAATCGAATACCGCAATGAGAAGTTTCCACAACTCATATCAGGAGTTTCACAGGGTGATTCCTAGAAGCGTGGCAATCCAATTATTTTCAATGCAATACCCTGTTTTTCATATTTATTTCAGAATCGGTTTATTTTTTAATCACAAGAGTATATATATAAACAGTATGGAATCTCCTATTTTCACTTCATTATCTTCACCTTTTTCAGCTCAGAAAAACATTTATTCTGATTACCTAACCCTTGAGTAGTCGAATGAGGTCTGTCAGACCAACGACTCACTCTTGATACAATGTCAGAGCGCGTCGCGATCGTCAGTACCTTTCTGTCTACAGGTCGAGCATTATTGGACAACGGCTATAATATACAGGTTGTTAACAAATAAGTGTCCCAATGGAAAACTGTAGATTTGTCATAGAGAAAGAGACATTTTCACCGGGCTCTCCTTCCCAAGATACAGGGCGTCAAAGTCGTCAGCTTTTTGCTCTTATCTCAGTAACCATTTGAGCTACGGAGCTTAGCCTTTGTACACACATCATCATTGATAATGACTACTTGTGAAGCTCTTAATCAATATCCTTGATACTAGTGGCGGAGAGTTCAACTTGTCGTATGGGATTAACCCTCCAAGTTTTCATGCCACTGGGGAAATTGCATTTTTCAAAGTTCATTATTAGGAGGTTCTTCTGCATCAATGCTCTGAAATTGACAGTTCTCGAGGAAAATTGCGATTTATGGATGGAAACATAAAGTCCTCGTATCTCTGAAAATTGTCTGAAAATCAAGTGACCACTGGAAATTTATCACTTCAGAACTGTCAAATGGAATGTTCAATCAAATGTCAGGTTGTAGAGTGCTGGGTCCCGAATTGTTGAGTTTATAAAGTGTTGTAAAATGATTATAATTGAGTGTGGTGAAACAAAAGATGACTTTATCAATAACGAATATACTGACATGATGAAAATCAATCAGTCTGTACTCGCAGTGTTTATCAAATCGTCGAACGCCATCTTACCGGATTTTTGCCCGAATTGAGTCGCGATTTAGAGAACCAGCAAGTTTCATGCCTAATGGAAAGAACTGTGGACGGCAAAGAGGCCGTCGCCTGTCAAGACTTGAAGAAGATGTACTTCATCTCGTTGAAGGAATTCGAAGAGCAGGAACCCTGGGAATTGCTCAAGCTTTGAGTTCGAATCACGTAAATGTTTGGGAAGTTTTACGGGAACAACAACTTCACCCTTTCCATTTACAAAAAGTATAACCTATGCTTCCAGTTGATTATCCACCAAGTTTCACCAGTGATAGTATTTTCAATTCACGTAAAAAATTGTGGGAAGGAGAAAATCCTTACGTCCTATTTACTCGAATTTCCTGGAAGGAGTTTTGCCGGAATTATTAGAGGATGTGCCACTGAATGTTCGTCGGCAGATGTGGTTTCAGCATGACAGAGCACCCTCACACTTCGCAGTCGAAGTTAGGGAGTACCTGAACACAACATTCAGAAGACGGTGGATTGGAAGAGGTGGTCCAGTAAGCTGGCCTGCCCGGTTACCTGACCTAGCACCTCTTGACTACTTTTCATGAGGTCACATGTAGATCCCAGTCTATGAGAATCTGGTTAATACTTTAGAGGAATTGACGGCAAGAACTGAGGTTGCAGCGCTCAAAATTCGCAGCATGCGTCGAATCTTGGACAACGTTCAGAGAAATATGATTGAACAACTATTGTGATATTTGGATCATCAAGATGTTGGGGATTCTTCTTCCAAGTTCAGTTGATTGTTGCTGCAATTATTGTTAATGATATCTATTGTATTTCAATTTCGAGTTGAATATTAAAAAAAAATTATAGCAGGATTCTCTGTTTTTATTCATAAATCGCCATTTTTCTGGAAAACTGTTTCCTCCAGAGCATTGAAGCAAAAGGACATTTTTCATGTGAAATATATTGGCGCTTCAGAATGTGCTTCAAGAATTACAATTCCTCCAGTAGCATGGAGATTTGGGGGATTGAACCCTTACAAGGCGTCCAACTCTTCGCCACTAACATGTCCAAGGTAATTGATCAAGAGCCCTAGAAGTGGTCATTATTAATGATGAAGTATGTACAGAGGTTCAGCTCCGTAGCTCAAACGGTAAAAAAAAACTGAATTTCTTAATTTTTGTTGACGCCTTGTATATTGAAAACGGAAACGGTAATATATATTTTTTTTCCATGAGGGATCTAAAGTTTTCCGTTGTGACACTTATTTGTTAACACCCTGTATGTATGATAATTTTTCGGAATCTTATTTTGTTTCTATTTATGTTGGATTCTCACCTGGAAAAATTTGATGATTACAGCAGCTCCATGATGAAGTAAAAGAAGGAAATATTGATTTGAAAAGCGAGCCAGAGTCAAACCGGAGCGAAGAAAGTGGCCCCAATACCGATACGGAGGAAGAACTGGACCGAAAATTGAAATCAGAATTGGAGGAATAATTTGGGAAAGAACCTGCAAATCCAGATCAGTTTGAAGCCTATACGGGAAGCCGACGGTACTTTTATGATGAGAAAGATGGGGTGTGATGTCGAAAACATGCACCTCCGACGAATGTTCGAACCAGAATTTGAAATATAATTCCATACGTATCATACGAAAGCGCTGAACGGACATGATACTTTTTTTTATAATTGCCAGTTTGAACTGGCAATTAGCAATAATTGCCAGTTTGAACTGGCATTTAGCTATAATTGCCAGTTTGAACTAGCAATTAGCCATAATTGCCAGATTGATCTGGCAATTTGCCATAATTGCCAGTTTGAACTGGCATTTAGCTATAATTGCCTGTTTGAACTGGCAATTAGCCATAATTGCCAGTTTGAACTAGCATTTAGCGCTTCCGTACGAAAGGATCTAGTCATGTTATCGCCATCTAGTGACGCCAAAAAACTAATGCGAAGGCGAACGATTATTTCGACAAACGCAAAGGGCGAGTGGACTGATAATGAATTATTGGCATTCAATTACTCCACTGTGTCGTTAGAGACCTATAGTATATTGTTCAACAAGAGCGGAATGTTAGTGATTTTCCCAAAGAACGAAATTTATATATATATATATATGATTATATATACCATAATATTTCTACGGCTGTGACAGATAACAGCGACATTCTTGATTTCTTCTTCTTGTAGCCATCTGATTTTCCCTCAAGTAATGGGCATTAGACAGAGCTGTTATTGCTTAAACTGTGACATTCCATCTGCGGGGTCCTTTCGTACGCAAGCGCTAAATGCCAGTTCAAACTGGCAATTATGGCTAATTGCCAGTTCAAACTGGCAATTATAGCTAAATTCCATTTCAAACTGGCAATATGGCTAATTGCCAGATCAAACTGGCAATTATGGCTAATTGCCAGATCAATCTGGCAATTTTGGCTAATTGCCAGTTCAAACTGGCAATTATAGTTAAATGCCAGTACAAACTGGCAATTATAAAAAAAAAGAGTAAGAAACAGTTATGTAGGTTTGAATGGAGCCAGACCTGCAAATTCTGTGGAATTGAGGCATTCATTGGCGTAGCTGTAATTTTCAGTGCAGGCCGCAGAAATAGCAAAGAATATTGAGCCACTGATAGAGAAGGCAAAAAGGTGTTTTGAGCTACTATGGTCCACAGACGATTTGTATTTTTGCTCAGTTGTCTTAGTTTGACGATGTGAATACCAGAGAAGAAAGAGGAACCATAGACATACTTGCACCAATCAGAAATGTTCTTGACCAATTCAATCAGAAATGCAAGCTAAATTACATTACCGAATCTTACTTCCAAACAAATCCGCCAGATATGCTATAAAAGTATTTTCCTTGGTGAATACTAGGTGTTTTTACACGGTGAAAATGGAAGTGAATGTTGGAACTCCAGGACCATATTGCGTTAGTACCAAAACCACCGATTGAGTTAAAAGAATGTTGAGCCTGTATTTGGAACGTGTAGAACTATCATCATGGATAATTATTATTGGTTTACAAATCACGGAAGTGTGAAAATTGTTGGAAAAATTCGCAATAACAAAAGAGAGATTCCGAAAGAACTTCTTGATCCCAGCAGACCACAGTACTCGTCTATGTTTGCATTTTCCAAATTCATGACTTTGATGGCCTCATATATACCAAAATAAATATTTGTGACCGTATTATCATCTTCTCACTATAATGACTTGATTGACGAATATATTATTACATTTCATAACACCCGCAGATGCCCAATGGTTATTTTTCACAATTTGCTCAACATTACCCGTTACCCTCAATAATATCAAATCTGAATTTAAAACGATTGAAAATGGTGTGCCACAAGGATCAATTATAGGACCACTGGTATTCACATTGTACACATCGCAATTTCCAAGTTGTTTAAATCATACTTCAATACACACGTATGCAGATGACACCCAACTTTATATGGTTTTCACAAAAAATGAACTGAATCAAGCATGTACAAGAATAAGTCAAGATATAGAGTCACTATTATTGCTTTCTAGAAAATATTGCCTCACTATTAACCCTACAAAATCCTGTGTAATGGTTTTCGGTCGTCCGTCAGCAAAGAAGCTTTGTAATAATAATAATATCAACATACTAGTCGATGGGGTGAAACTACCTTTGAAGGATGAAGTGAAAAATTTGGGTCTGATGTTGGATAGCTCATTAAGATTCTCTGGACATGTTTCGAACATTTTAAAAAAAGGATACAGCAGCCTTAAATTGATTTATTCCAACAGGAGACTAATGAATGTTACTGTGAAAAAAATGTTATGTGAAACTTTAGTTCTTTCACATGCAAGTCATGCAGACGTTGTTTATGGACCAAATTTAACGAGAGTGGACAGGTTAAGGGTGCAGAGGCTGCAAAATTCATGCGTGAGGTTAATATCCAGAATCAACAGGAGGCAGCACATCTCGCAGCACTTGGCTAACATCGGCTGGTTGAACATGGAAATGCGTCGAACTCTTCACGCTTTCATGCTTTTTCACAAAATAATATGTTCACAACGGCCTGTCTACTTGTATCACAAAATTACTCTCAGAACAGATGTACATAACCTCAATTTGAGATTCAAAGGAATGATATCTCCGCCAAGATACAAAACCACCAGATATAAAGGTTCCTTCACGTACTACTGCTACTGGCTTTATAACCGGCTCCCGATCTCTTATAAAGGAATGTCAAAAAAAGTAATGAAAAATAAATTGAAATCTGATCTACTGAACAACAAATTGCCACAACTGTTGGATTACGTCTCATAAATTTTCATCATGGACAGCCCCACTACACACCAATTCGAACAACCTGTAATATGTGTTTACAAAATTTTACATCGTTTTCGAATATGTATGTTATTTTTTTTTTGTGTGTTCGCTTATGTATATCATGCCCCAATGTATTATTTCCAAAACGTTTGAATTCATGATATTGAAAAAACCTGCTGTTAACGATATATATATTATTATTCAAATTATAGTTATTGTATGTAGAGGCTGGATGGAAGAACAAGAAGCGAATTAGATCTCCTGGATTTCTAATTCGTCTATTGAATCCTGCCTTTTGATAGGATCTGTATTTTTTTTTTCATTTCCCTATCAATAAAAGCCATTATTATTATTATTATTATTATTATTATTATTATTATTATTATTGCAGGCATGAACACCCACGTGATACATAAATGTACTGCAAGGGAATAAGACCAAATTCCCCAGCGAAGATTGTTCCTGAAAGCAATTGTTTCAGCCCTGGCAAGAAAAAACATTCTGATGAGAGCAAGATACCCTCATTCACAAAAAGATTTCGAAAATACGAAAACTGAGTGGAGTTCATGCAGATCAAGCGCCTCCGCGTTCAAATACATTCAGAAATGGAAATGGGGATTAGGTTGTTTTTTTACTAAATGTGAGATGAATACAATTTGGTTAACATTTTATTATTTCTACAAAATGTTTTTCATGATAGTAGTAGGTTCAAAATTGATCATGTACCGAAAAGTTTGATTTAATTTTTCATGATGTATTCTATGAAACAGAAACTGGGTCTCACAGAACCCACCCGATTATTCAAGTATTTTTCAGGCGAACGATTACCCTAGGGCTAATTGTTGATCACTCAATCAGTTGTGAAATGTATTCGATAATGATGCTATATATTCCA